ACATTTCCAGGCTTGGCTCTTTTCCCATAGGGCCTCCTTCCTGTCTGCTCTGCTGCCCTCTCCCGTAGCGCAGTTTTATGTGGTTCATCGTTTATCTTATCTTGTCTCATGATGTGTACATGTTCTTCCTGCAGCCTATCCCGTATTAGATATGGACTCGATGAGCTCACCAAACACTGGTTTTATTATTCTCCTGTCAGTGGTGTAGCACGGCCTCTGTCAGGGAGCATAGGTAGTCATAAATATTGTAGTCTATGGAGGAGGGAAGGGTGAATTCTGCTTTGTTTCCCAACTCAAATTGAAATATAAGAAAAGCTTTTGATTTAGACAAAACATTGCTTAGAATATTTGTGGATTTCACTCAGACTGTGGAAGTCTCTTACTGTAAGATAGGAATAATTGCCTTAGATGACATTACAGAGTTCTGTTGCAAATGAAAATGATGAGATATAATGTAATCGCCATCCTGAGGGAGTGGCCTAGAAGTTCTACTTCAATTGGCTTTATTTGTTTGTTTGTTTGTTTGTTTATTTACTTTTGGTTTTTCAAGACAGAGTTTCTTTGTAGCTTTGGAGCCTGTCCTGGAACTAGCTCTTGTAGACCAGGCTGGCCTCGAACTCACAGAGATCCACCTGCCTCTGCCTCTGGGATTAAAGGCGCGCACCACCACCACCCAGCTCAATTGGCATTTTTATGAGACCTAAGGAATGGTGTTATTAGCATGACTAGGTTTACATGCTGAGAGTTTTGGAGGCACACTTAACTTTCTAGGGCAATTTCATCTGTCTTAAAAAAAAAAAAACTGTCTGGGGAAGTGTAGACAGTGAGCTGACTCTGGCACGCTGAACTGTTAAGATGGGCAGTGCAGTCCTATGCTTTGCTGCTGACAGCTGGTAGTAGGGCAGAGCAGGGTGGCCAGTGGCCCGTATGTGGCAGTCCGAGGAGCCTGGTGACTTAAGATGTCTGAAGCCTGTGGTGTGAGACTGTGCCAGAGGACATGAAGTGTCTTAGGCGCCACTTCAGTTTGCTTTGCCCTCGGCCAACCGTTGGGTTGGATTAACAACAGACTGAGCCATCTGTAGCCGGGTCCTAGGTCTCCGAGCACCTGCTTTGGTGAGTGAAGTTTTAGTCGAACAAGGCCGTGCTTGTTTGTTTATGTATTTTGAGTGACTGCTTTTCTCTCAACGGTAGTACGGCATATTTTTTGCAGAGACCATTAATCCTCCAAGGCCTTAAGTGTTTCTTATTTGACTTTTAACTAAAAGCCTTCCAACCCTTGGTCTAGTGAACTGCACTTAGGAGGCAAACAAGACCAAAGACGTTTGAAGAGGAGCCATAAAAGGCACGTGTATGGGAACAGATGAAGGACAGGTTGCCGTGACAGGGAAGGCTATTGCCAGTTAGTTAAAGGCCTGTTATTTAGACTCTCCTCTGCTTCACTTTGTAGAGCAAATTGAAGCACAGGATTCCGATATGGGGTTGAGGATTTATTAGTGTATGGAAAAGCTGACTAGCATCAGACTGTCCTCTTTCGGGAAGGGGGAAGTTTTGTTTGGTTCTTGGTAACAGAAAACACTTAAAAAGCCAGGTAATTCAGACTGCTCAGCTGTGGATCAGACATGTTCTAGGTTAGGTCACCTTTGGGTAGTTCCCTTGGAAATAGTTTCAATCTGAGTCTGGTCTCTAATGCTTTTCCAGGCCTGTAGACTGTGGAGCCAGAGTAAGCCAGATGTTACCTGGATGAGTTGGCTAAGTTCACATTCTCTGGGGTGTACCAAAACATCCCAGTGCAGAGTCAAAGTGTATTTAACAGACATGAGCCAGCACCTATGTCCAGTTCAGTTAACACCTTTAATAGTGTGTGCTGGTTTTTTTCGTCGTGGTGAAGTTTTGTCGTTCTTACTCCTCTTGACTCATGGCACAGCTAAGATGTGTTTAAATGGTGTGTGGCCGTAAGAAGCATGGATGTAGGTGGAGGGCACCGAGTGTTGTGTAGGGCTATTGTTTGCTGCCCTGGACTTGTACACTGATCTTCTTGGTATAGTATACTTGAGCTCACTGATGACTATTGAATATCAAATTAGAATCGTAGAAGGTAAAATGGCCCTTTTGTGTTTATTTTATATTATTCTTAACTTATTCTGGGCTTCTGGAGTAGAGGTTTAAAGTGTCAGACTATAAAAAGAGGTTTCTCACACTGAAATGTTATCCATTAAAGACTTTCTTTGAGCTGGTGTGCTCAGTGCCTTAATCCCAGCTCTCAGGAGGCAGAAGCAGGTGGATCTGTGAGTTTGAGTCCAACCTGGTCTACAGAGAGAGTTCCAGGACAGCCAGGGCTAGCTACATAGAGAAACCCTGTCTCAAAAAACAAAACAAAACAAAAAACTTTTTTCTTGGCTCTAATTGAAAATTTCTCTCTGTTCATGAACAAGGCTCTTTGACTGGATGGAGGTTTGAACACTGTGCCCATTAGATACTCATGTTGTGCCTCAAACTATCTCCTTCTCACTTGAACGTCTTCCAGCCTCCGTCCTTTCCAGCAGATGGGCCTGAAATGGGTGCTTTTCCAGTTTTTCTGGCCTCCTGGCTCCATCACATGGTCTGGGTACACTTTGTGAAGTGGAGGCCAGGACACTCCCACTGAGTCATCTGTGCGTGGAGTTGCAGGTGCCTAGGCCTGGAGGCTGCAGGTGAGCTGTTAGTGCAGGTGCCGTCTTTCTGTGAAGCTTCTCTTGTGCTGATGTCTGTTACGCACTGTGTGGGTGAAAGCCTCATCACAGCACAGTTTGCTGAAAATTTCAGTACGACTGCTTCAGTGGGTCTGCGAGAGTCTGGAGATAGCACCGGAGTGTGACTCTGGCCAGTACAAACAAGCCATGTCTCCATCATATTCTTACTCCCTGTATCAAGTGTTTTATTCCTTTTTGGTCATAATGGGCTAGAGAAGTGGAAGAATGTTACACAAAGAATCTGTTGATTACATATTTGGGTTACTGATTAAGCCTGTGCTAACCATATTTAATCATTTTCAGTTTCTGTTTTGTTCATATTTTAGTACTGGAGGCATTGAAAATATTAGCTGACCAGGTGTTGGTGGCGCACACCCTTAATCCTAGCCCTTTGGAGGCAGAGGCAGGAGGATCTTTATGAGTTCGAGGCCAGCCTGGTCTATAGAACAAGTTCCAGGACAACCACAGTGGTTACAGAGAAACCCTGTTTCAAGAAGAAAAAAAAAAAGAAAGAAAAAGAAGGAAAGAAAGTAAAGAAAATATTGGCTGTATAGTTGTAGTTAAGCATTCTTTTTTTTCTTTCTTTTTCTTTTCTTTTCTTTTTTTTTTTTTTTTTTGGTTTTTCAGGACAGAATTTCTCCATGTAGCTTGGCTGTCCTACAACTCACTAGCCTTGAGCTCACAGAGATCTGCCTGCCTCTACCTCCCGAGTGGCCTGTGCCTCCATTGCCTGGCATTGTTAAACATTCTTGACTTTAAATGTGTTAAAAATCTTAGCTAGAACTTGATATTAACTATATTAAGGTTTTAATTATGTTAATTAATAAGGTATTGGTTGTATTAACTATATTAAAAATATTAGCTATGACTGTTTACTGCTTATTTTATGTGCCATCATCTTCATCATTTATGCCCCGCTAATGCTAAGCACACATGGGCAGCCCTTTTATGGCAGTTCTCCAGTTGTTCCTGTCCTGGGCAGATGCTTTTGTTATTGCCATTCCCAAGGTTCCAGTCTTTCTTTATGCTGTCTGTTCCTTTATGCGTTTTTTGGGTCTTTCTCTTTGTCTTACCCCGTGCACTCCTCCAAGCAGTGCTATCTTTGGGAATCTGCTGTCATTCATTCTCATAATGCGGCCCAAGTATCTCAAGCGCCATTCTTGTATCCTGTAGTTTGCTTCCTTCTGTAGATAGAGATGTTTCTTAATGTCATTGTTGCGCAGCCTGTATCTTCATGTGACGCCTAGAATCCTCCTGAGACACGCCATCTCAAATATATTTGACCGCTGTTCTGAGGAGCATTTCATTCTCCAGGTTTCAGACCCCCAAACACATTTTATGTATATGCTGAACTTATAGCCAGTGATGCCCAAACATTGGCTAAGTGGGTTGTTTATTATTATTATTATTATTATTATTATTATTATTATTATTATTAGTTTGGTTTTTCGAGACAGAGTTTCTCTGTAGCCTGTCCTGGAACTAGCTCTGATGATAGTCCTCTGAGTTAAGGGCTATCACTTTCAGTTCACAGGTGAATAAGAGAGAAAGGTCACTCAGAACTGTCCAGTAAGAGTTTTAATAATGGTGTGTGTTAGGGGGAGCAACTAGACCCCTGTAGGTTAACAGGAATGTAGGAGATTGAGAACGTGCCTGGTCTGTATTTGATGGAGATAGTATGCATGTTGCCTGTCCTGTAAGTGACTATAACAGTGAAAACGTGCACACATCTCCTGTCCTGTACATGATTATAACAATGAAAACGTGTACACATCTCCTGTCCTGTATAGTGACTATAACAATGAAAACGTGTACACATCTCCTGTCCTGTATAGTGACTATAACAATGAAAACGTGTACACATCTCCTTCTCACCTCTCTGAGAAGTGCCGCCTCAGCGCTCTACCACTCGGCTCCATCCCGGTCCTTGTTGGGAATGTCTTTACCAAAACACCACAACGTTGTGCAGTTGATTGAGAGGGGAAAGGGTGAGCGAGTGATGATCCTGGCAGTTTGGACTTGGTGTTTGTGAATGAAACAGCGACATTCTGTGCTTTGGGCGGGCCTGTTTGCTGCCTCTGTGGCCCTGGCCTCTTGCCATAAAGTAATACCTGATTGCTTAACAGCTTTGCCCCATTTACTCTAGTCTGTTGTCTAGGGGGAGACCATATAAGTAGATGTGCTCTCTTTGCACTGTTGTTTAGATTTAAGAAATGCTATTACAGTTTTTAGTGAGTAAGGGTTAACTCTGAATGTTTTGTTTCTCAACAGTACAGTGCTTTGGATACCAACCCGCTCTCTCTGTATGTCATGCATCCGTTTTGGAACACTATAGTGAAGGTAAGATTATTAATGGTGTGCCTTTTCGTTGAAACGAGTTTTGAGTATTTTAACCCATCTCACGGAGATTATTGCTGCCATCTCAGTTTACTCTTTGCAGGTCTGGTTATTGACCCTACGGCCTCATACCTGCTGCCCCAGTGCTCCACACAGAACTGTGTCCTCGGCCTTCTTCTTACTTTTTGAAAAAATTGTTTTAGATTTATTTATACTTATTATTTTATGTGTATGAGTGTTTTACCTACATGCATGTCTGTACCATTTGCATGGCTAGTGCCCTTGGAGGAAAGAACACATCAGGGCCCTGGAACTAGAGTTAGGGGTGGTTGTGAGCCACCATGGGGGTGCTGGCAATTGAACTTGGGTCCTCTGAAAGGACAGATGCTCCTAACCACTAAGGCACTTTCCAGCCCCCTTTTGCCTTTTTAATTTTTTAAACCTTTTAAAGTTTTATTTTATGTGCACTGGTCTTTTGCCTACATATCTGTGTGAGGGTGCCAGATGCCCTGGAACTGGAGTTACAGACAGTTGTGAGCTGCCATATGGGTGCTGAGAATTGAACCCTGGTCTTCTGGAAAAGTAGTCAGTGCTCTTAACTGCTGAGCCATCTCTCCAGCCCCACCCCCCTTTACTTTTAAAACAAGGACTCGCTGAGTTGCTTTGGACTTGGAATGCCCCTGCCTCACTGTCCTGAGTAGCTGAGATCACAGCCTGTGCTTGCAGGCCCAGCCAGCAGTGTCTTTAGTAAGCTGTAATAGAGGTGCTGCCCTCACCCCTCCCCGGTCAGCTCTCCCTTTTGGTGTATCTTCCTGTTGAATTCTAGATATATACACTGTAATTGATTATTTCTATAAAAGGCCTTTGAAACATTCTAAAATTAGCTTAATGATATCCTTATAAAAGTTTGTGTACTAAAGAATCTTCTAAAGATAGGGAACAGGGAGGAGAAAGAAATGTTCATCTACCAGTTGGAGTTATTGTTTTTGTTTTAATATACATAACACCTGTGTATGCTCTTTCAAATTGATAGCTTTTATGACCTAGTTTTGTATGTTGTGATGTTTATTGAACAGAGCTTTATTTACTTATTTACAACTATTTTGGGAAAAAAAACAGGTATTTCCTGCTTGGCTGGCTCCCAATCTTATAACCTTTTCTGGATTTATGCTGGTTGTGTTCAATTTCCTACTTTTGACATACTTCGATCCTGACTTTTATGCTTCAGGTGAGAACTTTATTATCTTAATGCATACTTTTAAATGTCTTGAGTAGCAAAAGGGTGTGGTTAGTTAATTTCTGTATCTAAGATGTTTCTGAAAGTTTTGGGTGTTAGAATGTTATATAAGATGTTGGGGTTGTGTATAAAACTAAATTGTCTTTTTATAATGTTATGTATTGTTCCCATTACGTTTTAGAAATAATAGTAGTGCTGGGCAGCGGTGGCTCACGCCTTTAACCCCAGCACTAGGGAGGCAGAAGCAGGAGGATCTCTGTGAGCTTGAGGCCAGCCTGGTCTACAGAGTGAGTTCCATGACAGCCAAGGATATACACAGAGAAACCCTCTCTCTAAAAACCAAAAATAAAAAAGAAAGAGAAAAGAAAAACAATAACAACTTATCTATTAAATTTAGATATGCTGTCTAAAAAGCAGCGAGGTTTTGGCAAATAATGAATAATTAGAAGATGGGTGCTGTGATACATGCGTGTAATCCCAGCACTGCATGTAGGGGCAAGAGAGTCAGGACTTCAGGACTAGCTTTAGCATATAGCATAAATTCACAAACATTTTTTTTTAAAAAAAGGATTTGCATGTAGGCAGAAATTTAGTTGTGAAACTATCTAAGATTCAGTACCAGGTAGGGCCTACCATGCCTACAGTGCCAGAAATGACCCTCTCCCATCTCCAGTCATAGAAGAAAAACTGCCTCTCTTCCTAAGGGAATGCATTGTCACCGTCCGTCAGCCGCCTGTTCATTTCTTCCTTACATGACTCCTGATTTCCTCTGGAAATGGTCCTTAGCTGGGCCTCACCAGCTTTTTGTTGTTGTTTGTGTGTGTGTGTGTGGGGGTAGGGCTTTACACATGCTAGGTTTGTACTGTGTCACTAAGTATAAACCCTGCCAAGTTTTTCAAATTTTATTTTGAGGCAGGGTCTTACTAAGTTGTACGGGCTGGCTTCCAACTTAAAATCCTCCTACCTTGGTCTCTTGAGTAGCTGGAACTACAGGCCTGAGCCCTACAGCTGGCCTTTTCTAATTCCTTTCTTTCTTTCTTTCTTTCTTTCTTTCTTTCTTTCTTTCTTTCTTTCTTTCTT